TAGACAAGGCAACAGGTCCTGAGGAATGGGCTGGCCGCCTAAAGAGAAGCTGATGGACCTGAAACAGCCAGTGTCAGTTGCCTGTGGTGTGACTGCTGTGACCAAGACCAGGCACCTAGGCACCATGGGGAGGGGGTCAGCCCCCAGACCCTGGCTGCCTATTAGCACCAGCGACGATGACAACAGGACGTTTTAATATTGCTTCTGCTTCCCAGGTTCCCCTCTGGAGCAGCTGGTGTCTAGTGTGTCAGATCTGCCCAAACGTCTAGACTCCCGGAGGCGCATGTCCCCTGAGGAATTCACAGACATAATGAACCAAAGGGAGCAATTCTTCCACAAGGGTAAGAAAGGGGGCAGGAAAAGAGAAGAGAGCGATTCACCCCAGACAGCACATCAGTGCCTGGGAACCATACTGGTGGGTTTATCAGATCTCCAGGATGTCATGGGCCAGGGTCACAATTTTTATGATGTGCTTATTAGGCGAGACCTTGAGCAACTGAGCCATCTTCACAGATGGTCTCTAACAGCCATGCAGACCTCAAGGGCCAGACCCCCTCTTCTATATGATTCTACCTTCCATAGGGTGTTCTAGGGCAGCTCAGTCTGGAGTGCTTCCCTTGCATCTGTGGGCATTCCTACTACTGCGCTCTTTGCTGCGTGCCTGCGCCTCTCTTTCTAAGTCCTGCTTCTTCTTCTGTGTCCCACAGTGAACTTCTCACCACCCGGTGACACGAACAACCTCTTCCCAGGGACTTGGTACCTGGAGCGAGTGGATGAGATGCATCGCCGGAAGTATGCCCGGCGCCCCGTCTAGAGGAGGCGAGTGAGTTTGTCGGGCTCGTAGCCTGAAGGCCTGGGGTCTTCCTCTGGGTAGCAGACGCAGTTCTGAAGTCTGTAATCATGTCAGAGACGGTCATAACTTAAGAGGATTTACAAACTGTGAGCTCCAGGACATGGGTGGGAGGGGTCTCTGTCTTGGAAATCTGGACTGTGAAAGTCAGACCTCTTCGAGTAAGTCTCCGAGAAGCTTGGTAAATCAGAGCCCACAGGAGGAAGCAGCCAACAGACAGAACTGCAGCATATTGTTCCAAAACAATGAGAATCAGAATGAAAAGAAAAAAAAAAAGACAAGAGAGAAGGCAGATCATCCCTTTCCTTCCTAAGAGCCTGGCAGCATCATGCCACAAAGACGGAGCACGGCTCCTGAGCCGTTCGCACTGAATCAAGAGTACCAAGCTGGGCTGGCGTGGAGAATTAAGGTTGATATAGCAGGCCATGGAGCCAGTGTTCCAGCCAAGCCACCCTGACCTCTCATCAATAGCAGAGCATGTGACAGGGACATGCCTGCCCCCCAGTCTCGGCTGCTTTAGCACCGGTTGATAGGCTCCCCAGGCATGGCGGCTCAGAACTGGGAAGACAGCTAGGGTACCAGGATCTCATAGAACAGGGGGGCTTTCATGCATAGCTGTCTCTAACAAGGGGCAAGGCCTTGGGGCTGGGGAGCCCAGGGTGAGGGGTGACCAAATCTGTTTCTCCTCCCTACAGATCCATACAACGGTTCCTCGGGAACGGATCTGAGCTGCTGCCCAAACAGTGTCTGCGTAAATTTCCACCCACAGCTAGCTGTAAATAACGAATAGACACGGTAGCCCCATAGGATCAGCGGTGAAGGGCCATCAGGCTCAGTGGCTCCTTCGTGACTCTCTCTGATGCCACCACTGCCACAGGCTCATGCTGCTGTGGACCAGAGCGCCCCTGTGAAGAATACGGGAGAAAGGGGGAACGCTGACCCCTGTGGAAGCAGATCAGTCGTTTTCTCCCACATTCAGACAGCCCCACCATTTGTTACGGCTCATCATCGGACTTCAATGCTGTTGCATTTTATGCTCATTACTTAAAAGTTTCCCGAGAATGTCTAAATTTTGTATCTTGTCCTGAAATAATGTTTGGCAATAAAAATGAGGGAAGAGACGATGCACATTTTCTAGAAGTCAAGAGCTTCGCAGAGAGCAGGGCACGCATCCCTTCACCCCACCCCTTCCACAAGTCTGTCCAATTCCACCAAGGACTACGGCAGATACCAGGCAAATAAACAAAGTAACACGAACCCCCCCCCTCCCCCCCGCGCTCACTTCTCTATCCTACAGACACCATATCCAGGCAGGGCCAGCAGGTGCTTGGTACATCAACCCCCCCTTGGCATATGTGGCCAGTGTTACCTAGACCAAACATAAAAGCCATAAGATTAGCCAGGCATGGTCACACAGATCTTAGCACTTGGGAGGCCGAGGAAGGGTGAATTCAAAGCCAGGCTAGCCTGTGTGGGGAGATCTAATAAACACATACACACACAACAACAACAACAAGAAAAGATGAGGCAGAGGTAGGTAGGATACTCTCTGCCTTGGGTAAAGAGGATATAGCTTTTCCAGGGTCCTCAGAAAGCAGCATGGTCTAGGGATGGGAACACTGAGCACAAGGCAGGAGGAAGGGGCCAGGGAGGGCTAGGAAGGACAAGGTGTTGTAGTCCTTCATTTCTTTCAGAAAAAGCTTTGGAGAGCCTTGGGGACACAGAAGAAGCAAGGTGAAGACCATGTCACACTGCCACTAGTAATCCCGGGCAAGGCTCAGGCTAAACAGCTAATCCCCCTCTCCTCAGCACGGGGCCCTGGGCCAGCATCTCTTGCAGGACCATGCTCCCTTCTTTGGTTACTGTAGTGCTGTCTGTCTGCATGGGAGAAAAGTCACCCGGTTCAAGACAGGGACACAGAACCCATGAAGAGCAAGCTCTCTGCAAGGTCCTGGCAATCAGGACCCCCCTTCCATATATCCCATCCTTGGTTCCTGGCCTACCTTTACCAGGGGTCATGTGGCTACAACTAGAAATGACCTCAGAAAGATGGCTTGGTGAGTTAAGGCACCTGCTGCCAAACCTGATGAGCCAAATTCCACCCCTAGGTCTCACAGGGTAGGTGAGAACCAGCTCCTGTGAAAGGTCCTTCTGCAACCAAGCTTGGAGTCACAGCCTGCACAAGACATCAAATTCTGATTCTGAAGAAGCCACATGTACCCTGTGGCATACATGTTCTACGCCCTGATAAAATGTAATTTAAAATTGTGTCAAGGTGCTTCCGGTCAAGTGAATGATTGCTGTCACCACACAACAGCTGAAGGCCCAACTTCAGGTTACAAGCAGAGCACACAGGTCATCATTCTCCACCCTCCCACCACACACACACACACACACATGTCCCTTGCACTTTTCCTCATCTGCCTTTATAAGGCCCGAAGAGGTCCTCCAGGAGTTAAACTCCACTCTAAAGTTACAGGAAATGGATGCCACAGGGAGAATGTCACAAAGAACGGCACTGACTGAGCAAACACGTTCTTTCACCTCACAAGAGCTATCCAAAGTGACTCCCCAGATACCGACATCCTCTGCTCGGCAGTTCCTCCTCGGACCCAGGAGAATCTCTCCATCCCTGTAGCAAGTGACCTGAGTGGTTTAGCCACGCCCCAAGACTTCTGGTGCGGGATGGAGCACTTTGAATTCTCTGAGAGCAAAGCACCACTCATCTTCTAGATCCAGAGCGAGCTCAGCTAGCTGGAGGCACTGCTTAGCGTGAATGATGCCTTAGGTTTGACAGCCAGCGATGGGGGAAATGAAAATCAACCCTTCCTTTTCTATTTGTGTGTGTGTGTGTGTGGGGGGGTGTTCTATGATCAGCCAAGGGCCACGTGCTGCAAAGAAATGCTCCCCTATGACCCTCATGAAGGTGTTTCCAAGTCAGGTCCCGAGCACCCTAGCATGCACTGCGCTTTGTCTGGAAATAGGACTCATTTTCACCGGCATGTGGCATGTTTAACTTCACCCACCTCTGCCTGCTTTCCAGCTATAGGTGTGGCCCCTCGGGGATACTCTTCATTCAAACCGAGTTCAGGAGCCAGCACTGGAACAAGTATTTCAGTAAGAAAGTGGGTGGTCCGCTATCAGGATGCCCAACAAACAGGCACTGGACATCACTGGAGAGCGTGCTGAGAAGCTGCCTGACTGCTCCGAGGAGCAGGCATGCCCATACGTCGACCGTCAACCTCGCGTTCATTTCCTGAGCTCGCACTGCTGCCCCACGAAGCATCACACCCCTCTCACAGACGACCCAGCAGAGCTCAAGGTCAAAACCGTGGTGTTCCAGGTCATCCAGGCCCGCCCCTTTCCAGGTCATCTAGGCCCACCCCTTTCCAGGTCATCCAGGCCCGCCCCTTTCCAGGTCATCTAGGCCCACCCCTTTCCAGGTCATCCAGGCCTGCCCCTTTCCAGGTCTGGGGCAGAAATGGGAGCAGGCCTTTCCTGCTCTGGACTTGCAGGAAGCCATGGCTGAGAGTAGCCTCTCTGTGTCAGGCGGGCTGGAAAGAAACCCTTCCTCACTGATGGACTAACGGGGCGAGAAGCTCTCTATAGACACAGTCGTTTGAATGGAGTTCATTCTGCAGCCTTCCATGAAAATCAAGTGAAAACACCGCCCAGCTCACACTAAGCTTGCTGTGTTGCAGCTACTAAGGAAACATGTTCCTTTAGCTCACAAAATCTTTCCAAAGCAACTCCCCGGAGGCCAGCATCCTCTGCTCAGAATCAGGAGAATCCCTGCACTCCCACAGCAAGTGAGCTGTGTGCCTAGCCACACCCACAAGACTCTGGTGCCCAGCTGTCCACTTTGAATTCTCTGACGGCAAAGCACCAGCCAGGGCCTGGCATACACGGTGCTGAATTTTACTCCTTAATTGCACTCCTAACATGAGGGGATTCTGAAACACTCTGAGCTACATTCCTGTGGATAATCTTTGAAAGGACGGGAGGGGCTATCTTCAGGGCACCCATGCTCAGGTCTTTTGTACACCCCAACCTTCCTCTCCACAGTTACTGGTCAGCTGCCAAACCTCCAGAGGCAGCCCGTGGGTGCCCTCTGCTGGCTTTTCTGGATAATGACCACACAGATACCATGTGGTGTTCAAAGCTTTACTAGATGTTATTTAAGGCAGGTGCCTGGGTTCTGCCCCAGGAACGTGGATCTCCTCTCCCTATAGATAACAGCGAGCAGGTTTCTCAGAAAAGCCCGAGGGCCTGGTGCCTCCGAGTCCCAGGTTCAGAAGCAGAACTGGAAGGCTTCAGACACGTGTGGCTTCCACGCATCCAGGCTGGGCAGCAGGGACGAGAGGCCCATAACGTGCCAGGTCTCTCCGTCTGACACCTTGGAGGTTTGGTAGGAAAGTAGCTGTACACCTGCCTCTGCCAGGAGGCCTGGGGGTGGGCAGAAAGGAAAGCCCGGGTTAGCATGGCACAAGGGGGAAGGGGTGAGAGAACAAGAGGCCAGAGTAGCGAGATGTCAGGTTTCTGTGACCCAGGCGGAAGGGCGGAGGATGGGAGGGGGCGGCGCTGGTCTCCACAGTAAGGAGCTGCCATGGCAGAATAGGTGACTTTCCTATTCTCAGCCTGAGTATCAGGTGAGGCGGGGAGCTAGTACCCTGACGGGAGCTACGCCAATAGCGAGGGAACAAGATAATCAGAGAACTGTCCTCCGGGCAGCTGGCAGAGATGATGAAATAAAGTCCCCCCAGGGTCTGGGGGTGCATCCTCTGCCAAACCTGGATGAGACCCAGAACCCTCAGAAGGGAGACCAGGGCTGCACCTCCTGTGCTCTGACACATATGTTAGGCTGGTCACCAGAGCCCATGGAAGAAACAATCCATGAAGTAAGCTCCAGGGATATAGAGAGTGTGCGGGAACATGGCGAACTTGTGCCATGGCCGGGGGTAACTGGCACTCTGCCCACCTCTGCCCATACTACTCTGTGACCTCAGATGAGCCGCTCACTTTCCCTGGCTGAGCTGTTTCTTTCTAATATTGTGGAAATGGCTCTTTGCAAGATCCTCGGTGAGGCACATATAGACATGCCCTGAGGCACAGAGAAAGGCCCAATCCCAGGGAAGACCCCATCTCTGCCAGCCTCCCCCACAAAGCCTCCTCACCAATCATAGTGGGCAGCATAACAGGGTTGGAGGGCTGAGCTCGGAACATGAGCAGGGGCTGGCCCCGGCGTAGTGGCACCTCTGGCCTGAAGACAGCTCCGTTGAGCATCTGCAACATTGGGGTGGTACCCTGGACCAAGCCCACAGCTTGGTAGGGGGCACCTGCCAGGGCCACAGTCAGGAGGCCTTCCCCGCTGCCCTGCTCCCCTGAGGCCCCCGGGCTGTGGGAGGTGGTGACCTGAAGAGAGAAGACAGAGGCACAGTTGAACAGTCTAATCACACCCAAATGCAGGGAATCAAGTCCAGCCACCAGCTCAGCAGTCTGGGTACAGGAACAAACGGGGACAAACTCATGTCTCCAGACTTTAGCTTCTCAGGGCAGTCAAGATGCCCCATAAAGGGAGGACCAGGTGTCTGCCTAGCTGGCCAGGAAGGGTGGGAAGTGGGAAGCAGAGGACCAAGCAATAGATAGCTGACCGGCCTGGTCCTTTCTGCACCAGCCTCTTAAGTCAATGCCTGACTAGGATGCAGGAAAAAGGTTAAAGGTGGCAGGGCCGGGAGAACACTGTTCCTAGGACTCCGGCCAGCTTCAAATTGCCACCACATAGTCTTTGATTCCAAGGGGAGTAAGGGAGGAAGCCACTAGAGGAAAGCTCAGAGGGTGGAGGAACGTGTTCCCAGGGTTTGCAAGCATCTCTTGGCTCCATTAAATGCGGCCTATGTCAGCTTTTTTTTTTCTTCAGTTGTAAAATGGAGGTGCCTTACACCCCCCATTCAGGCCATTTATCCATCTATCCATAGTTTTGTGAGTGTGAGTTCACACCATTACACTCAAACATATGGTCACTCCCTTCACAGATGAAGGCATCAAGGTGGGCTCTCACCGATGGGCTAGCTCTCACCGATGGACAGGCAGGTGGCAAGAAGCAAACCCAAAGAGCAAAACTGGGAACAGGCTCTTAAAGTGCAGGGTAGATAGAGCTAGGCACAGGGACACACGCCTGAAATCCTAGCGTTTGGGAGGTAGAAGCTGAAGGATCAGAAGTTCAAGGACAACCTGGGTTATACAAGACTGCCCCCCCCAGAAAAAACAAATAAAAAGAGGGGTGACATAGTAGTGCCCAGAGTAAAGAGAGTGCGCACATTGAGGCCAGCCTCTTTCACCAGTAGCTTAGCATTCACCAAATTCACATCTGCCTGCTTTGACGCTTCCCTCAGGAGGCCGACAATGACCGCAGGGCTCAGACAGTTCCCAGCATTCTTCAGAGATGCTCCTGCGGACACAGAGAGTTATCCCAAAGTTAGTTGTTCACTAGACACCACAGGAGGGGGCAGGAGACCACTGGCACTTAGCTCTCAGCGACAAGGCTCTTGTTGACCTGGGGACCCCAAAGGCAGGCTGCAATGGGCACTGTAATTCCTTGAGAGTGTTAAAAAGCCAGCTGGGGGGTCCGAGCCCAGAAGCCTAGGATATTTTAACCAATTTGAGAAACTCCCCTCCAAAACTGAGAACATCCTGACTGGTCTCCTTGGCCGGCCTGTCTTCCCAGAAGATGCTTGGAAAACTGTGTGCTCCCACAAGTGGCTGGGATGGTGGCCCTTGCAAGCTCAGAAGCAGAAAGGTGACACTCAAGTAACCATGTGACCAGCGTCCAGCTATGTTTCCTCAGGGGCTTGGGAAACCAAGGCAGTGGGCGTGGCGTCCCCTGGCTCCGCCTATCCCTGATAACCTTGGCATTTTGGGTTTACCTGCCCTGCCCAACCTCATAATCTCGCCCCAAGTGTCAGGTGCCAAACAGGTAATTGAGGGTGCTGGAGAGGCACTGTACAGGATGAAGGGGGGCACCGAACCCTGTCTGCAGAGTGGTGGACCCACTACCAAGGCCCCCTGAGCCACACACAGTCAGGTGGAAACCAGAGCCACACAGTTTTGCTGACTGATTTAGATTCTCTAAAGATTCCAATAACGTTTACACGAAACTCTCTGGTCTTGCTTGCACGGGGAACTTGTCTATACTAAAAACACTGCATAAACATGATCTGAGAAAATTAAGTACATTTTCCCAGGGAACTTACATACATTTTTTTTTTGTCCAACTCAGTCGTGGGTTTGAGCTGTACCCAGAGCAGGGCCCAAGTCCCCTGAGTCTGCCACTAGATCTGCACTGAGCACTGGAGACACCCAGCAGATATGAGTCCACAGTCTCTATTCCCCCCTCTGCAGGACCCCAGCTCATGCCGTGGGCCCAGCCAGACCCGGACTCACCTTGTGTCACCACCTGGATGGTCCCTTTAGGGGAGCCAGCCCAGGCATGCATGAGTGTGCCCAGCGCTTCTGCCAGACCAATCCAAGGCTTGGTGTGTGGAGAGAAGGCGCTGGTAAGGGCCTGGGCGTTTACCTGCAGAAAGAGGAGGACAGGGTGAGGCTGAGAACCTGCTCAAAAGAGGAACTAAATCAACACCACGTGGCCAAGAGTCAGCCTGCCATGGAGGGGCAACTCAGGAGATGGGTGACAGTCACCCAGAAAACAATGACTTATCCCTGTAGACCAGAAGAGCTACAGAGCCCAAGGGCACACAGAGGAAAGTTTCTGCTGCACTATGTAGCCAGAACAGGGGCTGGAAGCCTAGCTTCTTCCATTGAGCAGTACTGGTACTGGAGCCCTCTGTGGGAGACGGACTTCCTGTGTGATGGACAGGGGTCTGTCTGGACAGCTCAGTAAAACACGGACGTCATAGGTATACGGAAGCAGAGTGATGGTTCTTAGGGAGGGTGATCTAATTTGCCCTTTTTGTGTTGTTTTGGGACGGGGCTTCACTCTATAGTCCAGCCGGGCAGACCTCCAGAGTGCTAGGCTTACAGGGTGAGCCACCAAGCCTGGCCCATTTTATTTTCTATTTTGATTATTTGAGGCGACTGCTCATATTGGTCACTGAACACTATGCTCGGCTACCATAACATATAAAACCAGATTCAGACAGTTCCAATGAGCCTACAGTATGCTTCAAACAGCCACCTATGCTGAGTATAGAGAGGCATGCTGGGAAATTGAGCTACCAGAGTAGATTGGAAAGGCCCTGGACATCCCAAGTACAGGGTCTCAGGGCTTGGCCCTCCCTTCTGCTCCCAGAGACCTAATAACAGAGCTTCCTTGTTCTGAGGTAAAATTCCTGCTCCCTTTTGTGGCTCCAGAAGCTTTGGCTCCCAGTCAGGCATTAACAATTTCTTTGAGGCTACTTTAAAAAAAAATCTATGCAAGAAGGATTTAATTAGGAATCTAGGTTTTAAATTTGCCTGCAATCTCAGCCCTAGGGAGGCCAAGGTAAGTGGCTCCCCCTGAGTTCCAGGCCAACTGCAACTACAGAAGAAAACCCTACAAGTCACATCCTCACCCCACTGGCAAGCAGACAAAAACTTGGGTTTGATGAAAAAAAAAATCAAATAAGCAGCTAGGAGATGGGAAAAATGTAATAATTCTGTTCTTGTTTTCATAGTGATCACTAGAAGAGTCAGAAGCTGCAGCAAGACACGGGGAGGAAAAGCGGAGGACTCGGAGGACTAGGGGCCAGCTCAGAGCAGAAAGGCTCAGCTAAGAAAGCCCAAAGCAGGCCTCACAGCTCACTGGAGGCCACACGGCCCAGTCCAAGGGCTTGCTTCTCTGTACTTCTGTAAAGTAAAAGGGTGTGCAGTGATCCATCTTGAAAAATAAATAGCAAAATGCCAGGACAGAGTCAGGTGCCGCTGGAAACCGGCCTGGCCCCAGGGCTCATCTGTGCTAAGGTCAGAGAACCGGAGAAGACACAGGACGAGTCAGGGAGGAACAGTTCTTTCCAAAGACTATCGGCAGCTGGGGTAGAGAGCTCGATTTGCTAACTTGGTTGTGAGACGGAGAGAATTCCTATCTTACACAGGATGGCAGGCAGCCCTCTGTCTTTGTACTCCGTGGAGCTCATCGTGGGAAGCAGCCTGTCAGAAAATGTCATGTGATCTCACCGTCACCTCGCGAGAGGTGGCTCCCTCAGACGGTTCCCATGGAGGGGGCAGAAGCCTGCCTTTGAAGAACTTGAGGGGTCGAGCTCTATCGGGTTGCCCAAGAAGGGGGATATTCACTAGCAGGGCATCAGCTGAGGCGGGAGAGATGGTCTGTTTTGTTCAGTCTTCCATTCTCTGGTTGGATAATCCAGCCAGGACCCTAATCAAAGTGACCTGCTCAGAAACTCACTGGGTAGCCAGATGGGTAGGAAAAAGTGCTGTGGTGGCCTCAAGGAGCCAATGCGGTGTGCAGGGGAAAGAGAAGACGGGCTGGACGGTGTCACCTGGTCTTCATGGGCTCTGCAGGCTCTCACACCACAACTGGCCCTCAAGGAACCCCCTGATCACTATAGACCAAATGGCCTCCTGATTGTCTCAAGACATAGAACTGAGCCATCTTACGAGACATAGGCCGGCTGAGTGAAACTGTCCTTCCTACCACGGTTCTGTCCCAACCAGTGACTCTCTCCAGGCTGTGAGACAGCCAGGAAGGCACGAGCCCTCTGTCAATCATCTGCTGTTTCTTGCGGAGTATCGGTTACATGTCTGGGGCACTCACATAGTCAGCCTGTTGGTCCTCAGAGATCTTAGAATTCAGCATTAACCAGATAACAAACCCATAGTCCCAGCACTCGGGAGGCAGAGGGATCCCTGAATTCAAGGCCAGTCAGGGCTACATAGTGAGACCTAGCCTCAAAAACAAACAAACGAACAAATAAAAAACCCCAAACAAATAAAAACAAATGAGGCAGAGCAGCAAGGGCCCAGAAAGCGTTGGTGAAGGAGGGTAAAAGGCTCCAGGAAGAGCTGTGCTTTCTTAGTTCTGTGTCCTTTACTGGGACCCCATGTGTGTGTGTGTGGGGGGAAACAGGGGGTGCCTGGCATCCACCAGACTAAGCAAGGGGGCTAACTAACACAGCAAAGGTTTTAGGAAGTAGGAAGACTGGTTGGTTATGGCAGGGTGAGCTCTGACCATGGACACTGTGCTGCTGTTGAGCATACCCCCCAACACGCGCGCGTGCACACACACACACACACACACACACACACACACACACACACACACACACAGTGGGCCCTGCTCTGCTCCCTCACCCCGGCAACACACCCTCCCTCCCAAGGCATGTGAACAACAAAGGAGCCTTTCACTGGTGCTGGGCCTGGGAAAGCTCACAATCTCTGCAGCGGGGCTACAATATAACGGCTCAGAACCCAGCTCCTGGCTCCAAGGCCTTGGCTATCAAGACTATAGAAGAGCTGCTCCTGCCCATACACCCCGTGAGACAACTCAAGTACAGCCTTCGGCTCCATTCCCAGGGCTGAGTCTGTCCACCCCGAGCTGCTGTCTGCTCTCTTCCAGGACTCCAGACCCCAGCCCCACGTAGAGATACTTACAACCCCTGCTAGAGATTTCCCCTTCACCATGTCCACAAACTGGATGGCGATTTCTTCCCCACAGCGGCTCTGGGCCTCCTTGGTGCTGGCACCCAGGTGGGGACAGCTGATGACATTCTCGTGGTCCACCAAGGCCCGGTCCCGTGGTGGCTCCTGCCCGGAGAGAGACCTTTAAGTTGACAATGGACTGGCTATATTATAAATTCTCTACTGTTGTTCACACTGAATTTTGAGAATTGCAATGATCTGAATCCTGGCCTCCTAATGGTGGGAGAAGATGGTGCATTCTGAGGAAGATGGTCATATACAGGGGAGCTGGTGATACACCATGCACCCTGGCTGGGAATAGACAAGTGCCATGGGGTTCAGAGAGGGCCAAGTGACCTGCCACAGTCTCGCAGCTAGAAACTGCATTCACGCCAAAGGCCACGCTCTTTCTCCCGGGCCACACTGAGGAGCCCTGATGCTGAGATAGGGCCAAGGGAATTGGTGGAGGTGTGCACTCTGCACTCTATATGCTGGGGCTGAACCTTTGCACATGCTGGAAGAGCGGTCCACACTGGGGACTGCCATCACCCCTGGATTTCTGGCCCTTCCTAGGAATGAAGAGAGAGAGAGAGAGGAACACTAATGGGTACTGGGCAGGCCATGTCATTGGCCATGGCCTTGACTAAAGTATCAGGAATGACACACTAACTCCTGTGTTAGTCTAGAACCCCTAGCCTCATCAGTTTATCAAGGTCTTCCCCAAGTTACCAGTACAGCAACAGCCTGACCAAGAACGGGTCCTATTTTAAGACCCAGGATTTGCAGAAGACAGCAGAGAAAAGGCCTCCTCAGAACCACAGGTGTTGTTTCTTGGCAGCACAGCTTCCTCTGTGCCAGAAACAGTGAGCTACTGTCCTGAGAGATGCTACCTTTTCTTGCCTGTGGCCTCTCGGCTCCTCACCTTTCCCCTCCAACTTGACACTGAGGCTGCACTTACCTCTGTGAACACATCCAGGGCGGCACCAGCGCACTGACCAGACTGCAGGGCACGGAGCAGGGCACCTTCATCCACAATCCCTCCTCGAGCACAGTTCACCACTCGCACGCCCTTCTTGCACCGGGCAAAAGTGCTGTCGTTCAGCAAGCCTGGGAGAGAGGAGACCTCGCCCACTGTGGCGGTTCCTGACCCGCTCTCTCAGCACCGGTTCCCAGAAGCCACCTCTCCCCAGAGGTTTCTTTCTGCTGGATAGGTACCTTGTTCTCACCTGTCTTCAGAGATGCTCTGAGATCATAAACTCTGTACCAGATATGGGTTAGACTCAGGCAGTTCTGGAGATGAGCGTGCTTTGAGTAGGCTCAAGAACCAAAAGTACCCCTGCAGGGTGCCATGAAGCTTCCACACGGGACGCTAGTTGCATCTGTGTCCCGCACATTCATATACCCTTGCTTTTTCAACTAGCTCAGCCGCCTTCATCGGTGGCAAGCACTTGTGACAAAGAGCCACGGTGCTTGGCGGGTCCTCGCTAGGTCCCTGTCAACACTTGCTCAATAGTATCAGCAGAAAACCCACACTAAGAGCCTACCTGTGGTGGAGGGCAGGAGGGGAGTGTGGACAGTGATGAAATCACAGAGAGGCCAGATCTCCTCGAGCGGCAGCTGCTGGACACCAAAGGAGGCCGAGACTTCTGGAGAAATGATGGGGTCATAACCCACAGTCTGGTCCAAAGCGAGAAAAGGGAGGAGACACCTTTAGCATCAATGTTGGTATTGTCAGTAACCGCACCATTTGCTAGTAGTGGGTACCACATTAAGCCTAACTGAATCCTCTAGTCTCACTCTCAGAACAATACATGGCGCTTAGGGCTACTCTCCTGTCTCTGTAGGTCAATGGGAGGAGGCTTGAAGAACTAGCAGGGAGCATAGTCAGACAAGGGAAGGCTGCCTGTCACCAAGACCCAACAGCAAGTAGATGCAGGAACAGCTCATGTGTGGCTGGACAAAGCGGAACTCGGGAGCCTTGAGGCAGGAGGGCTGGTGAGGAAGGGCTCAGGGATGACCACCAGGCCCACTGTCCCGGCTACGCCAGCAGGTGTCTGGGGTTGAGGGTGATGGGCCAGGGAAGGAGTGAGCAAGCATTGTCCACAGAGGCCAGAGAGCACAGGTTCAGCTTCTTCCAAGTCCCAGCAAAGGTCATGCCCTAGCAGCCACGCAGATGTAGGAAACAGGTATGAGGGGGTGGTTTACAGTAACCAAGATCTAAGCACTCTCTGCTGATCTACCCAAGAGGCCATCCCAGGCCTCCCTCCTGAGCTCAGCTCTATGGGCAACTCTGACTTTGGAGAAAGAGGCACCAGAGCCCTAAGAACAAAGGCAGGGCAGTCCTCGGAGGCAGGTGTGCCTGCAGCATCCAAGAAATGGCTGGAGCCAGGAGTCCTTCCTCAGCTGCTGCCAGCCGTATGTCAGAGTCCCCTAGAAGGGAGAGGACCCCAATATAAGAGCTGTTGGAGAGATGACTTCAGTCGCTCGCTGCTCTGCCACGCACTAAAGCAAAACTATTGAGAAAATCCCCCTGACCTCTTCAGGAATATCTCCATAGTGGACCCAGATGTAAGTGAAGACAGGAAAGAAATGAGGCCTCCTCCTTGAGCGGTTGCTACCTCTGTGGGGAGGAATTCTTCCCCTTCCTGTGCTTTTTAAGCCCTCAGCTACATGGTGTGGGAAGCACCTGAAATTAGGGGGCTACAGATCCTGCCTTATGACAGATCATACAAAGACTTCTTCCTCACACTTAAGAGCTCCGGGGGAAGAAAAGGAAAAAAAGCCAAATGGTTATGAAGAGGTTAACACTCTGGGGCCACATTTTGCATAATTAGCCTTGTTCTAAGCAAAGCCAGGGAGCTCCCTTCCCCCATTCCAGCCACCAGGGAAGGCTGGAGGAAAGACATGGCTTCTTGGGGCCCTCTAAGGAGTACAGCGCGGAGCACCAAGGGCGCACATATTTCGAAGGCCTTTTCAGACATTTTTATTGCCCTCCGATGGAGCCCATTTGCTTCCGGACAGAGAAGGAAATGCTCAGGGGGGAGAGATGAATCCTTGGCCTCATCCTCACAATTCGCCTTTGTCTGCTGGCGCCAGAGACGACGAGAACAATGGACCCGTTCATCTCTAATCCAGATGTGTTTTCTTCTCATGTGCAGTGAGGGTAGAAAAGAACACCAAGAGATCACAAAGTCACGCGTGACTGAGCGAGCTCACAGCACTCTGTGGTCTTTTCTACTCTTGGGGACCAAGGCCGACCACTTGTTTGATCCCTAGCACCCCCATGGTAGAGGGACAGAACTAACTCCCGTAGTTGTCCTCTAACTTCCGCATACTATAACCCATGCACACTCACATGCACACACAATAAAAAAAATGCAAGAGTAAAAATTTGAAATAATAGCAATAATAGTTTTTTTTTTCTGAGGTAAGAGCTGTTGCCCTAGAAAGTGGCTGTTGTTTGCGTCACTGAGCAGTGGCTGCTTAGGGACTTAATGTGGGCCACGAGTGGAAACAGTGGTGGCCCTGTAAGCCAGGACACACGAGTGGACTCTCACTTCCTTGTCTTTACTTTTGAGCCTGTAGATGGCCTTGCTGGGCCTCAGTTTCCTGTGAGTATCACAACTGATGCAGCCGACCTTAGCAAACAGAAGCTAGCCAGGAAATGCCAACGGCCACCGGACCTCGGGTGCTGAGGACACGGGTGGCAAAGACCCTGCTATGAGATGCTGATGGGGTCTGAGAGGGACACTGGTAAGGAAGCACAGGGCTCAGCTGTGAGCCGGCCGGGGCCTGGTTACACACCCCGAGAGAGACGCCAGCATAAACAAGGTGAGTCAATCACTACAGCTCTCGTTTAGCAACACACTGAAGGAAAGTTCAAGGTAACAACAGAGTGTACGGTCACCAGCGGGCTACAGGCCGACCTGGGTGTCATCCACCTTGCCCTGGAATCCTTCCTCTTTAATGCTGTTAAAGTCATATTACCTTTTCCACCAAACACAACACTGTTAGCCACTCTTTCTTTGGCTCGCAGAGGTGTTTTCCAAATGTTTCCAAAGTCCAAATCTGTCTAGTAGCTTTTTAGACCCTCACACAGACACGGAGATACATATTCTAGCTAAACTTCCTGTTAGGATGGCAACCATTCCAGCCTTCCCGTGTTTTAGGACTTAATTCTTCTCTATACTTGAGGCAGGATCTCAGTATGCACTCCAGCCTAGCACTGAGTTCTTGATCCTCCCGCAGTCTCTCGAGTTCCAAACATGCTCCACCACAGCTGGCCAGATTCTAACTACCTCTCCTTGCTCTCTGGATTCCACAAATGATGCCTGGTCCCGGCTATGGGTGAAAATGGTGGCTAGGGCAGTGCTCTGGGCCACCATCGACAATTTTCCTCCCGCCTGACAGGGGCCTTCCTTGAAACCTACACATTGTGTGTGTTGGGGGGAGGGTGGGAAGTGGGGGATGCAGCTTATCCCCACAGGGATTACAGAAGAGGCCTTTGCTGAAACCTCAGTGTGCCTCTCTGGCGGAACAGCCAATAATCCATACCACAGTATTCCAACTAAGCTTGAAAACTTTTTACCTTAACACTATATACAACGTTGTGCTCTACACAGACCTGCAACCTTCTCTGGGCATAGTACACAATCCGTGTACACACAGAGAATGCACTCTGGGGTGGCATATGCCAAACTAGTGCCACTAAGAGGAGGCTCGTACTGGGAAGCTGATGTGGGAGGCCGTTATCTGTACGAACGCATTCATTTATTACGTAATTAGAACAGTGCCTTAAGATGGGCATCCGGGCACATGTCTGCAACCTCAGCACTTAGGAGCCAAGGCCAAAGGGTCCTAAGTTTAAGGCTACCCTGGGTAATTCAGCAAGACCCTGTCTCAAGACAAAATAATGAAAGGGGCTGATGATGTAGTTCAGGGGTATAGCAACTTGTCTGCCTCTGTGAGGCTCCAGGTTCAAGGCCCGGTACCCCAAAACCAACCCAACAAAACTCCCATATTTAAAAATTGTCTAGGTAGAGAAATAGTTATAAATCTCCATGCTTTACCAGTTAAATTATTATTTTCAAAGGGAACAAGACTAGTTTGAAAATGAGCTTAATAAGGATTGGTCTCAGGGCTGTGAGATCGCCCTGTAGGCATAGGCACTTACTACCAGGGCATATGCCCGGAGTTGGAACCCTGGAACCCACATGGAAGAGAGAGTCAGGTCTCACACTCTATCTGACCTCCACATGTGCACCAGGGTGCATGCGTGCATTCTTGTGAACATGCGTATGCACACACATGCACACACGGTAATATAACTTAATGTGATCACTGTCTCCTCATCTAGAACTATGCTATCTTGTTTTCTGTGGCTTTGAAGACACAGACAGGAGCTTAGATGGTGCAGAATCTCTGTCCTGAGATGACACCCACTAAATCCCAGGAACGTTGCAGGGTAGTCAGGGGGCTTGACGAGGGAGGGCACCACAGGCCATGTTTTAAGGGGTTTACAAGAAATGGTTCAAAACTGAGACAGGCAGGAGTGACCCTTCAGAGACATCTAGACAGAAGAAGCCCCAATAAAGACAGCATACCCTCAAAGTCCTGGTTGTAGTTAAACATGGCTAGATATGGCTGTGCATGCCTATAATTCCAGTACTTGTAAGTTTGAGGCTAGCCTGAACTACATAGTTAGACTCTATCCTAAACAAGTTCAAGCATGTTGTGTGTGATACAAAGCTACAGACCAGCAGTAAAGTGAACAGGTTCTAGAGATGTCTTTGAAACAAACACCTGTCTGAGAAGAACCTATTACTTCTTGACATGGATGCTCAAGGCCCCATATGGCCAACACCTGCAGGTGGAGGAGCAGCTGGGCATTAGCAGGTGGCTGCGTGGGCTCCCCTCTCACTGCTATTATTTGGGAAACAAAACAGGGCTCTTTGGCTAGATTCAGCTACTGCCAAGGCCTCTGTTCTACAGCTAGAAAAGTCTGGTGTTGATGCCCCAGGGACAATGGGAGTCACGCGGTGGTAGAGAGCCTCATTGCCGGTCCCCAAGCCAACGCATGGCAATGAAATGCTTAGTTGGTTTGTTCCATACGTTTAGCACTGCTGAAACATGGTCCTTAGTTTTTAGTTCAGCATTCTTCATGGGATAAATCTGGACCTTGGAAAAAGTATTCTTAGTAACTCATGGCCCCCTCTGTCCTCTCTACCTGCAAGGGCCGTGCTGAGATTTCTCTTCACCATCAATGGATCCTGCTGAGCCAGGCCCAGTTCTCTCAGGGACCTAATATATATACCTGAGGCTTTAGGAAGGCGTGTGATTTAAAGAAATACGACACTCAGTGTGGCAGAATGGGATGCTGCCCTGGCGTCTGGGTCACCATCCCTTCAGCGAGTCCTTAGGCACACTCTTACAAATCGTGGGTGTCAGTCTCAACCCATAACTTCCATTCTAGCGCTAAGGTAGAAGGGGTGCTGACCATGGGAAGAGCGAGGAGGGGAGAAACGGAAACTCTATAGCAGATCTTTGTAAGGTTTCCTAGACCTGGAAGGACTGATTATTGTCAAAACAATTTTCTTAATGTTTAACGAAAGCCTCTGGCTGCCGCATGCCCTGCAGTCCCTGTAATTCCCTCAACAACCGCATTAAATGGTTGACAGTGCAAGCCCGCTGGCACCCAGTCAGCTGCCTTTAGCTGTCTGGCCTATCAAAGCAGACCTGTACTGAACACCAACCTTCACCCAGCCAGGAACTTGCTGGCTCCCAGAGTTGGAAAAAGAGAGGACCAAAATGACTTCTGAGACAGCTAGGAAGCTATCTAGTCATTTCTCATATCAGAGCATGCAAACAAACGCACATGTGTTTTAAAGAAAGGATCTTGCTATTCAGGCTGGCTTTGAACTCACGAGCCACCTGCCAGAGGCGCCTAGATGTTGAGATTATAGACACGTGACACTATGCCCACCTATTAGCATCCTAAATCTTTGCTGGGGTTGTGAGGGAAATAGGAAGGCCAGGAAGCATTGGCATTAGGCTATAAATTTGTTTTCTAAATTGTCAAAGAGGAGACACAGCGAAACCAGGAGGCCCTGTAGTATGATGGGAAAGGATGTGTATCACAGAAAAACACTTGCTGGCCCATTGAGACTCGGGGCTACTGATACCCAGGAGCTGAGGGACTGTATTGAGTACTCTCAGCTTTTGAGTTCAGATGTCCCAACAGAGGCCAGTGATCCCTTCCTCCCTGACTTGACTGCTTATTTGATAAGGAGTCCTAGAGATCCGTGTATAGATCTTCCCTAAAGCCTTGCTCTCTCTCCCAATGCTGCGTCAGTCTGGAAGCCTCTCACCTTCATCCCAAAGGACTGCATTCGGGTGGCCACCTCTCTTCCAATTCTGCCCAGGCCGAGAATTCCCAGTGTCTTTCCGTTCAGCTCTGTCCCCATGAACTGCAACCAGACAGGCAAAAGGCAAAGGCGCCCAAGTCAGGACCAAGAGTGGGGCTTGGGAGCTGAGCCCAGATGGGCGAGCCAAGGCAACAGCTCACCTTCTTCCGGTCCCATTTGCCATCTTTCATGGAAGCCGCTGCCTGGGGAATCTGCCTGGAAGAACACAGCAGGTTCAGTGGGTCACCCTGAAGAAGGCGCGAGGACAGCACAGCATAGCCACCATCTGTCAGTCATTCTCCTGGGAACCACACTCACTGGGGGCATGGGAGCTGATTCAGGGTCACTGTGTGTGTAAGGGAAGCTGGGACAGAAAGACCATAGGACAGGAGGCTGGCAGAAGAATCTGATCTATCTCAACCATTGAAGGACAAGGAGGAGTGGGTTTGGCAGGTTTTTCTCCTGTAAGTAGTGGCCAGACTTGCACAGTTTGCAGGGACAAATGCTCCAACGATGGCAGGAACTCTTCCCATCCTCATCAGGACCACTCTTGATGACTTCTCTTGTTTTCAAGGGAAGACCAGCTGATCTTTCCTTCTTAAACCTCAAGAGAGCTAACCTGAGGCAGACGGGTGCCACTGTCCAAACCCTTCCACTCTGCCCTAAATGAACCTAATACCTCCAACATGTCCACCACCGTCCTGCCTGCTCCCACACACTACAGACTATCTCCTCTACTGGCGCCTGGCCAGGTCTGAGTCGCCATGTTTTGTGTTGTTTTGCTTTCTGGACCAAACAGAGAAAGTGGCAGTTAGGGCACTGTTAGGATTTAAGGGTAAGATGCGGACAGTAGGACATGTCACCAAGACCACATCTGGGAACACAGACCTTCTCTAGGCTGGATGCCCTGAGAAGTACTCGGTCCTACACTACTCATGGCGCTCATTCCTGCATGCAGGAGGCACTCAGCCAGTCACAGGGAGCAGCCTCAAGAGCAGAATGCCCACTAGCCTATGAGTCAGGAGCCTCCTCCCCAGCAGGGTAGAGATGTCTTGGTTCATGCATATCCTCAATGAGGGACGTCAGCAAGGGAGGCTGGGAGAGGGTAGCCTTTTTTAAATCACAGTGTCCTGCCTACTCCTTTAGATAAGCTGGTCCTGGCAGTGGAGGGAAACCAGCACCTCAGGAGTAGGAGCAGAAAGTGGTATTGGGGGATCCTTCTTTGACTCCAACAGATAAATATACCACCGAGATTAACAGCGGAAACAAAACTAGAGTCATGGGCCTGTACCATCCTCCCGGGAGAGACCCAATTCGGACATCCTGGGAGACCTGGGGATGCTCCTAGCTGAAGCTTTTCTGCTGTGCCTGCAGTCCTTGCTGCTCCCTAGCCCCATCCTCCCTGCACTGACCAGTGCAAAGTCCGTGCTGCTATGAAGGACTCCTGGGAGAAGTAGAGCAAAGGTCAACTCCCCCAGCAGGAGGGAGAAGATAGGAAAGAAAGAACTTTGTAATCACAGCAGGCCTCAGGCCCCAGCAAGAGTCTAGCTGCTGCCTGGCTCTTCAAAGGGACTGGTAACAGCTTCAGGCCCCATTTTACTAGAAAGCCTGTGTCTCAGAAACAGGAGAGACGCCTGTTAAGTGTGTCCTGTCTGCCAAACAACTGCCTGCAGCATTAGGAGGAGTTCGTATTATATGCGCCATCTACTTGGTCACTAGACTGTCCCCTCCAGGAGGCCCACACATCCAGAATTCTGCCAGAAGAGCTCCCTGAGATAGGAATTCACAGGGAGGCACAAGAATGATGATCAGGTATTTATTGCATATGTTACAATACAGGCCTAGAGGACAGAGTCAGATCAACGCAGGGGGCCATGCCCAGCTGCTCAATCCAGAGTCTCTTGAATGAATTAACAAGAATTAAACCCCCAAATCTCAGTGCTTAACAAGTTGTCAGTAATCCGAACACACATGGCACTTGAGGTTACAGGGTACGGAAAGCATCTCAAGGTTTGCGGACTAGAGAAGGCATAGCACCCAGTGGGTGTGAGGCGTGGTCGTGAGTCGGAGGGAGGGAGAACGGTGTGTACACTCTCTGTGCGCTTGGAGTTAGCATCCAGCCTCCCATGCCTACTTCCAAATGACCAGAGAAGCTCCCGGGCATCTGCGTACCCCTGCAGCTGTATCTTTTCCCTAGGTCTGTTTGCTTGTGGTAATCATTGACCTACCAGAGGGTGTCTGGGTCAAGTGAGAAGTCAGGGACTTACCTGGCCAGGCACATGATCATCCCACAGGTGAGTTCCGCGGCACTGAGGCTGTTTCCGTTAGGGGTGCTAAAGACCCAACAGAAGAGAGGTCAGTGGGCCCAGACAAACCCAGTATTCTAGGCTTCCAGCCCCAAGCTCCCATGCTGGCTTCTCTGATCCTCTGTGGCCCTAAGAACCAGGCTACCTAGGCCGCCCACAGAGAAGCACCTCACGTGATGGGAAGGTGGGTGGGTGGTTCAGCTCGGTAGGCTTTCATTTCAGGGCCCATCCATCTCCATGCCCCTCTGCTCCTTCCTAGGGGAGACCCCTGAGCAAATCTCCGACTTTCAGGTCAGACCACTGTCGGGTAGCCCTCATCATCACTTCTCCGGGCTTGTACTAGGAACAAAGCTCATGTCTTTATTTCCACTTGGTTGGTTTCTCCTTCTTACTCAATCTATTTTTGAACTGAGAAAAAAAGCCTACTCCTCAAAAACAAACAAAACAAAACACCTGAATAATGTTGACAACTCCCCAGACCTAACACCTGTTCACCCTCCTGCTTCCTCTACTGGGTGTGTTCATCTCTAGAAGGTTACAGGAGTTAAGAGGTGCTATTGAAAAACAAAAGGACTCCAAGAGCTTTTCATTATGAAAGACAACAGAGCTTCCAGCTCTCCCCCTACCAAGCAGCCAGGGCAGGGGAAAAAGCGGGACTGGAGGACTGCAGGGACCAGGTAGAATGGGTTATCCTTTAACATCTCCACGTGAGGTACTAACTTCTGTCAGGCACACAGACAGTCAATACACCCCTTCCCTCCTGGGGGCAGGGGAGGCACAGCAGGACTGGGAGTCAGCAGAGTGGGCCTGGAATAGCTATACTACCCAGGAGCCTGATGATGCAAGACAGTGCTCTAGTGGCTGTGATCTTTGCCCCGCGCTTCTACAAACACAGCGCTAACAGGGACCCCTCTCTGGGGCCTAGAGTGCTAGAAGAGAAACTGGGTTCTTCACTTTATACCGGTGCAGGAAAATGAAGGAAGAAACAACATGAGACATCACTTTACCAAGAAAGTGCATGCATCTATTCAAGGGGCAGGACTACAGAGCTAGCAAAACGGAAGAGCCAGGCTGGCACCGGAAACCAGGAAATCTTTACCTACGGTCTTCCGATTCCTACCCGAAGCTACAGATGGGTGGGTCCCAAAGCAGGGCGAGTTCCATATCCAGAGACTGCAGACCACAGCCTTGGAAAAACTAAGCTGAACTGGTCACCATCATAGGGACCAGCTCAGACAGCACTCCAAAAGGCCTAACACCTGGCTCTAATTTCCGCATTTCTTTCCCTCTCTTTTATTGGTCTCCGCACCCACCCTCAGCTTCCACAACTCACTTCATGACTAGGATGCCCTTCCTAGTGGCGGCCTCCAGATCCACATTGTCCACACCTGTGCCAGCCCTGCCCACCACCTGGAGCTTCTCGGCTGCGTTGATGACATCAACAGTGACCTTAGTGGCTGACCGAACGATAAGGCCTTCGCAGTCCTGGGTAGGGAAAGAAATATCTGGGTTTAAGTAGCTGCTCTGTGAGGTACCTGAAGCCTCTGGTGCAATCCCAGTGGGTATGAATGCCACTCATAGGCAGCTCCGCCTTCTTGGTGTACTGTCGGTGATGAGGATTGCACCCTGCACAGGTGTGATGTGGAGTTGACTCTACTTGTAAGACACAAGCATCTTGCTAGCACACTCCAGCATCAGCCTGCTGGCACTAGGCATTTGATTCATCTCTCCCTAGACGATACCCCAATAAGTACCTGTAGCCAAGGGATAACCCATCCAGTGTGACCAGACATGAGTCCCAGTCAGCACCACACATGCTAACACTCCTGGATGCCTCTTTGCTCCAAAGGTGAATTCCAAAGAAAGAAAAGGCAACGTCTGCACACATCGGTCTAGCCTGGGCTCAACTCTAAGCTGTGTTGATCCGAGAGGGATGTGGGTTCCAGCCTCAGGTGTGCAAGGCACAGACAAGACAGGCGGGTAGAGCACCTGGTCATCCCTTTCTTCATCGGACTGCTGAAGAGAAGAGCAGAAATAGAATCCAATTCCACCCCTCGAGCCCCCGGGCCAGGCAGCTGGAAGGCAGTCTGTAAATGCTGAATGAGTAAGCAATATGAATGGAAGACATGCCTCCCGAAACGAAAATGCTTCCTGAGACAAGAACCCACAGGAAAGGGGGGGGGGAGGGGGGCTTGAGCCTAAGTGCCGCCCTCTGCAGCTGCTCAGAGGCTCAGTCAATAGCACACTAAAAATAGGCATGCCATAAGTTCACCATCGCAGCTGGGCCAAGAGACCCCTGACTTGTCAGAAAGACGGTTGCTGTCTTTCCCGAGGAAGAACATTCTTTGACCAGACAGGACGGGAAGCCCCAGGAGAGGTAGCAGGTGAAAAAGCCCGCACACTCTGTCCTACATGGGTGGCCTCAGGCCAGCACGAAATGATGTAAAGGCGCTAAGCCGCTGGTTATGGGGGCAGGCACATGTCTGTCACCTCTGCATGTGAGGGCCTGAGGCCCGAAGAGCATGTGTTTGAGCCAGACTACCTCTAATTATTAATTAGTAAGTAAAAATAGATCAAACAAACAACAAGAAGACAAATGTCAAAAAAAAAAAAAAGCACCAAGGATAAAGAAACACCAAGTCCCAGAGGCCAAAGTTCAGGCGGGTCACTGTGACAAGTCACCCTGTTCCTTATCCCAGACCTCTTCCACAGGTCATGTAAGAGGGCTGGAGGAATGGCCTCTCACATCCGGTTTCCCCAGAGGCGGTCTCTGCCAGGATCTATGGAGATCTTCCTGCATCTCTCTTCCACACATGGATTCTGAAGACAGAGACAGGCCCCCAAAGCCGGCCCCCGAGGTTGAGCCCCCACACTCAACTTGTATTGACTGTGTACAAGCCTGAAACTGAGGGAGGGACACGTGTGGAGAGGTTAAAGGCCAGAGCTATGTTCTCTCTGCTGGGAAGAGAGGGGTGAAGCTTGTGCTGTGGCAAAGGGTATTGATGCTGGGGGTGGGGTGGCTTAACTATTGGAATGGACCGACTGCTCAGGAGTCCAGAGCAGTCGTAGAATCTATAGTGACAGAATCCAAGGCCTGTCCAAGCAACATGAGACCCGGCTTTAAAAAAGAAAAAACAGCATAAAAATAGTTATAGAATCACTTCTCTGTAGCTATTGATGCTTCAGGTACCCACATTGGTCTGGTCAGGGCTGTGCCTGCCCACAGAGTTCCATCAGGTCACCTGAAGGGCACTTCATGCCCTTCAGTGGCTGTGCTTTAGATAGAACAGAGCAGGAGATTCTAAGAAATCTTCCCACGTGTCCCAAGTTCATTTTGCAAATGAGAAACACACACCCAGCCACGCCTGATCCCCTAAAACCCAGTCAGTTCTGTAAACCTCCAGCACCATCCCCCAGGTCCCAGTGTTTTCTTTCTTCCCCTGGCTTGGTCACTGGTAGCTAAGACAACCAAGAAACCATCCAGACCCAAAAGTTTGGAGACAGATATACCAAAATCTGCCAGCACTCGCCCTAATGGTACACTCAATACCAGTATGCGCCGAGAGGATGCCCCAACTTCTCTCTAGCACCTTAGCCCAATACTAGCCAGAGCCCAGTCAGAAAAAGCACATTGCTGCTGGCACACAGACCTGCCACACTGGCTCCGAAGAAAAGGATTCCCCTGCCTCCGACAGGATGTGACAGATGTCTGTTCTCTAACACTTAAGTTCAGAAGAGCCATCTCATCCTCTCTGCTTTGTTCCCAGACACGGCTTCGTGAGAGCAGGCTGACTCTAAATTCACAATGTAGCTGGGGATGACTTTAAACTTCTGATGCTTGTCTCTATTTCCTAAGTGATGGATTTCCAGCGCTCACCACCACACCCATTTTATGACATGCCGAGAATGGAGCCCTGCGATGCTAGGCAAACTCGCTACCAACCAAACCTCCATCCCCAGCCCCAGATACCCCGTATTCAGCGGTCCTTCCCCTGATCTGCAGAACCTGATCTACTAGACCTAAAGATCTCTGCTCTTAAAGCAACGTTTTTCAGTTGAGCATTTACCTGTAATATTTTTGGCACCCCCCTTTCTCCACAGCCCCATTGTGGGGTTCGGTGCTGTGTATATTAGCCATGTTAGCATCTCCAGGGGCTGCTTTGCATTGCTCTCACCACAACACCAAGAACAAACCCCGTCATCCCTATTTTCCAGGTCAAGGAATGGCTTCGAGAGGTAACATGAACTAAGTCACTGTTACAGATCTAAAATCAGTCCCAAGAACTGGTGGGCAGACAAGATGTCAAAACAATAGAGTCAGAGTAACAGCCAGGGAGGGGCAGAAAACAAATTGGAAAATACCTTGACTAGGAGGAGTGGGGAGTTGCTAGTGATGATTTTTTAAAAAGGGTACTTTACGCTGGACGTCGGTGGCACACACCTTTAATCCCAGCACTTGGGAGGCAGAGACAGGTGGATCTCTGTGAGTTCGAGGCCAGCCTGGTCTACAGAGAGTTCCAGGGCAGCCAAGACTGTTACACAAGAGAAACCCTGTCTCGAAAAACAAACAAAGAGGGTGTTTTACATCAAGCACTGGGCTTCTCAACAGCCTAATTCATGGTCTCCATGTTATAGGCAATAATCCAACCCTAGAAGAAGCTGGGTCAGGATCAAGCCTCCTTAGAGTCCAAGTTCGCAGCTACTTTCCAAAGGCAGCATCCACAGAGACACTGTCAAAATTCTATGGTTACTCCAGGAAAGCCGCTGAGGTTCCCAACAAGGGTGTAGGGTCTTCAACTACTCAGCTAGTCAGGCACAGTTACAAAACAAAGACAAAACAACAACAGAACCAAGAGGCCTCTGGGTCGTGGCCTCTAGGTCAGGCACCAGCGATTATTGATGACGAAACACTTGTTACATCAACTTGATCAATAAGAGTGACTAAGGATCTCCAGTAGGTTTTGGAAAAGGGGAAAAAGTTGGAAGGACTGGGAGAAACATAACAAACATGCTGGGAAATCAACAGAAACAGGCACCTACACAAACAGATCCATGGTGTGGCAAGGTGAAGAATATCCAGGCACTGGGAAGACTAGAGCAGGGCGGCTGCGAGTTCAAAACCAGCCTGGTGACAGAGCAAGCCATTGTCTTCAAAACAAACAGCAACACTAACACTCACAGAGCAGGAACTTATAAAGGCAAGAACCAAGGAGATGGGGAGAGGAAAGACTGAACAGCTGTACTGAGAAGATTTAGAGGGAAATGCTTAGATTTTGAGAATCCAGATGAACTAAAGAAATTTAAAACAAAACACTAGAGCAAAGTGTATACTGGGTTTTCTTAAGCTCTTGGGATGACAGAGTCATCTATTTAAAAAAAGACACACATTCAGAAACTGTAAGATCATGGCCATGTTCTAAATGTAAACCTCTATATGGAAAAATGTCTCATAAAAAAGAATGAAAGACAATGGCCTTGACATGGGAAGAAAATCCAATGCACCACCAAACATAACCCCGTGCCTTCAAAGCAGAAGAACTCATAAAACATCCGTGAAGGCACAGGCTGGCAATGAAGACCCGTGCAAAGACCTGGCAACTCCTGAGAGCAAGGGGAGCAAAGCCGAGCCGCAGAGGTTTGCTTGACAAGTCTCGCACACGGGAGCCTGAAGATTGCCACAGATCTGAGACTAGCCTGGGCTACAGTGTGAGATCCTGACAGTAGAAGAACCAAACAGGAGCTCAGCTGGAAAAAATGCTTGCTGGGCAATCCTGGGACCCTGCACCCAGGTCTCTTGCTGGGAGGGAAAAAAATGACCTCTGAAGGTTGCCCCCTGCCTGCCCCTCCCCCACTGCACACCTCCAATCTCCCGTGCACAGGGAGATAGAGATAGAAAGATAAATTTTTTAAACAAAAAATTGTAAATTGAGCAGGCACTTGGTAAAGCCCCGTCTCAAAAGTGGAAAAAGGTGAATTTTAAAAAGTTCATTTCACGTGGCTGGAGAGATGGCTCAGCAGTTAAGAATATTGGCTGCTCTTCCAAAGGACCCGGATTCCATTCCCAGAACCTATGTAATGGCTCACAAACATCTGTGACTCCAGTTCCCAAGGATCCAATACCCTTTTCTGGCCTCCTCAGGCACTAGGGCACCCACATGGTCCACAGCCATACAAGCAGGTAAAATAAAATACACATAAAAGTAAAATTTGGAATGTTCATTTCAGGTTTCCTATTGGTAAAGAGAAAACTGACCACTCCCCGATGGTGAGCATGTGGGGAAAGGAGAGAGAACACTGCGCCGCAGCCTTTGCAGAGGGCAGCCGGGCAGCGGCTGGAGGCTTAGCGTCCTCCTCTGCAGTCAGCAAGCACATTTTAGGTAATTGCTAACACACCAAAATATTAAACCTGTCCTGGAACTGGCCAACCCTGGGAGAAGGGTCCAAGTTCAACTGACAAGCACAGATAAGGAACAAGTGGGGCACAGACCACCCAAGGAGTCACCTTCCTACCCATTGTCTTTTCTGTGATCCCAAACCCAGGCCCTGCCCTGTTCAAGGTAACCTGCCCAATCATTCCCCTGGGCTTCGGTACTCTCTCCAAGGTAGCCCCAAATTGAGGACCCCCCCCCAGGAGACAACGGCTGCAGAGGATGTAGGGGGGGTCACAGCGATCTACTTTCTCTGACAGCCCCCAAGGACAAGCAGAGCAACAGTGCTCTCTTCTCGCTGGCTGGGTCTGTTCTGTGGGGACGTCACCCTGTGCCAACCAGCTTTTGGCTATGATGAACCCGAAGCTTCTCTGGTAGAACTGGCATACATGGGCATCCACAGCTGGCATGTCCCAAGAGCCCAGAACCTACATTAGAGCCAACACTGGTCAGAGTTTGCCTCCTACAACATCAGCTAGAAGCCATAGAAAACATAGGGAGGCCAACTAGTCAACCCACCTCAGGCTAAGTGTTCACCACCACACCCCAACCCCCGGCACTCCTGAACACCATCAACCCTTCCCCAGCACCATAGCTCAACCCTCACAGATCCCTCTGGGATGCTCCTCCCTCTTCTATGTGTACAGACTACTAGACAACCCCAAGGTTCACACCTACCAAAGTCCTAGTGTAGTGCTGGCTTAGAATGCTTTCCTTCATGCGTGATGCACGCCTGTAATCCAGGACTCTACCCCAGTGCTCCAGCACTGGGAAGGGGCAGAATGTAAGGTTAAGGCTCTCAAAATCGAATCCTCCTTCCCCCCGATCCCAGTATCTGCTCTTCCCTCTCTGGCACTGGCCAACTGGGAATGCAAGCACCCTGATAGAATCGCCTCCGTGGCTCTTTGCCTACATTTCATCCGGAATGCGCACGCCCCACATTCGCCTACATATTTCATCACTCCCAGGCTGTAGCGCTAGGAAACACTGGTCTGCTTGATTTATGGCTGTCCCAGAAAAAAAGAAAAAAAAAAAAACGACGCTAACTCAGTGGGAATCTAGCCCCACTCCCTTTCTTCAAGTTCACACAGGACTCCTTTCCCAACGAGCATGGGCTTGGCCTTGTGGGTAATCCTATTATTGTTACCACTTAGTGCATAGGGTACAGCAGCTCTCCAGGTGATTCCCCTGTTGGGCTGTAGGGAATACAGGTATGCCCGGGATGGCTTGGAGCACAGAGATTCACCTGCCCTGCTGCCTTCTGAGTGCAGGGATTAAATGCAGGAGCCATTATCCTTTGCCACCCTCTTTTTTCTTTCTTTCCTTTCTTTCTTTCTTTCTTTCTTTCTTTCTTTCTTTTTTTTAAGATGGTCTTGCAGCAATCCTGATGTTCCGGCTTCTCAAGTGTGGGAGGATTACACAGGTATGCTCACCACAGCCAGAGCACACTGTGCTTCACTGACACCCAGCTAAAAATTAACCATTTACAAAGGACGCAGTTGTATGCATGCATGCGCGCGCGCACACACACACACACACACACACACACACACACACACTGTGAGACCCTGTCTCAAATAATGTTGACACTAACTCGATTCAGGAAATAACCAGGCTAGCTAAAAGATAAAAAAGATTCCCCATCAAAATAATAATGATGTTATGTTGATGAAAAAAAAAAAGAAGCCAGCCTCTAATCTGTGTCTTTATATTCCTATATTCACATACACACACGTGTCTGATACCCACATATGAAGAAGACACTACCAGCACTGCTGACTCTCTTGTTTTCTACAACACTGATCATGACTTAGGGGAACTCAGTGCCCCGCTGTGCTGTGATTTGATGACTGGCAGGTTATCACTAGGGGAGAGAGAGACTGGTCCTCCTTCTTGGGCTGAGGGCAAACAGCCTGCCCAGGATATGAAGCGGCACAGGCCAGCTCCAGCCCCAGCTCCAGCAGAGGGGCTAACCCTTGCTTCTCCCTGCAAAGATTAAGATGGGGCAGGGCAGGAGACACTGGCAGGAGGAGATAAAGTGAGGAGGGAGGGTGGAAGGGAGGGTCCTTCTGCTAGGTAGCCAAGATTGATTGGCATTCTGAACTGGGTATTGTGCCAAGGCAGACTGACGGCTGAGAGCTCTTCCTGGGGGCCAGCCAGTCAAGTCAGCCGGCACCCACCTCTTCCTGCCTGGCAAGTATCTCCACTGCTTGAAAGCAGCCTGCATTTTTAGCAACATATTCCTGCTCCCAAGCTTCCAGGTTTTTGGTGAGGCCTGGCCTGCCCCTCCCCCATCTCACACACCCCCATTCCTACCTCTTTATTGGCTATAACATTTCTCACTGCCTCTGGAAAACAGCAAAGCCTTCCAAGTGCAGCCAATGGTTTCCTGAAAGCCTTTCCACAGCCTTCCTGGCCGCTGCTTAGATGTTGAGCCAAGGTCTCTGACACCAGGCAAGACGGATGAGCTTGCAGTAATTGCTCCATTGACACTACCCACTCTTCAGAGTGACATCCCGAGCCATGCCCACCCGTACAGTCCCAGGCAAGTCCCTTCTCCTGCATTTTCCATTCCAGCAGGTGCCACCGCTTGTTGTCTCAAAACGGTCACCTGAGCAGCTGTCTCAGTGTTGGGCCCTGCTGGCCAGGAAACCTACAACCTTTCCTTTTCTCAGCCTGCTTTCCAGACACGGGCTCATTCTGTAGCCCAGGCTGGCCTCGAACTCACAGAGATGCTTCCGACTCAGCCTCCTTCATGCTAGGCATGAGCCAGCCAGCTCTTTGTCATTTGTTGTTGTTGTTTTTGAGACAGGGTCTCAGGCAGCCCAGCGGATCCAACTTGAGGAGCCTCCTCCTTCCCTAGGCTTCCCAAGTGTTGGGGTTACAGCTGTGTGCCACCTGGCCTAGACTCCTGCAAGTTTCTTAATGACCAGGACCAGAAAAGTATGCGAATAAGGGCCGCTGTTGGGCAGGCACTTGGATAACAGCACCACAGAGGAAGGGGATTGGAGGCGGGGCAGGGTCCTGGGAGGAACTGACAGTCAGCTCAGACTGTTTCCAGGGCAGCCAGAGCAACCATGCTTGGTCCCTGCGGTTTAAGGCCTCCCAGCCTGCCCAAGAGGAGGCATAACATTCGCTCTGGCTGCAGGCCCTGAACAGAGCACGTGGAACTTGGGGCGTGGGGCAGGACAGCTGAGAGGCAGCAAGGAGACATCATACCTGGATGGATCCGATCCGCAGAAAGGGCAGGAACTGGAGTAAGGCGCTCCCAAAATAAGCCCTCTAAATCTGAGCAACGTCACCCAATTTAGCAAAGCCTTCTTTCAAGTAAGGGAAAGACTAAGTTATAAGGATTAAGGTTTGTTCCGAAGACTTGGTAGAAGTTAACCCTTCGCGATGGTGCATGGGACGAGATTCTGATGAACTGAAGTAGGTCCTGATCGGCGATGAAGCCGACGGTGGAGGCTGACTCCAGGCGGGCGGCCGCGTGGGCGGCACGGGGCTCTTGGTTGCTCCCCCGGCCCACCCCGAATCCCGCGAGCGCTCCCCAGAGGCCCAGGGCTCCGGAAAGCGCGCCAAGGTCTTGCATCAGACGAAAGGCGGTGCGAGATCGCTGCCACAGATGCCACGGGACGGGCTTTGACATAGCCAGCGCCCCCTGCCCCCACCCCAGCGGCCTGCCCCGGGCTGGGGGAAAGGTCCCCATGCACGAGTCTCCGCGTGCAGCACCCCGAGCCGGGGAGCCCGCAGCCTGGGCCGCGGGGCACGAAGGCTCCAGAGCGGTTCTGGCATCCCGCGGTACCAGATGGGAGCAGCTGTACTTAGCAGCGCAGGCGAGAAACACGCGTTTGCAAACAGCACGCAAAGTTTGCATCTTGCAGCCCCGGGCCGTTTCATTCCTCTTCGCCTCTCCTCCCTCCCTCTGCTGGCTCCCAATCTCTGAAAGCCTCGGAACCAACAGATATGACAGGGGAGGACAGCCCTGGCCGGTTTGACCATCAAGATGCACGGTGACTTTGCTCGTCTCCGGCTCGCTTACCTGCAACTCCGCTATCAGCTCCTCCTTGCTCAAGTTCTGCTTCTCCACTACCTGCAGCCCTCCATCTTGCAGGATCTTCCGGCAGCAGGGGTCCAGGCTGTCACTGATGAGCACTTTGCGCAGATTTGCGAAGGCCATTGCTGGAGCGAGGCCTCGGAATCAGTTGCTCTGGGTGGGCAAAAGCACTTAGGTCAGGAAGCTGCCGGGAGGGCTTCTGGATCCAGAGACTGGGCAGGGTTCTCGATCTCCCGCTCCCCCTTTACACACCCCCTCGCGCCAATGGTCTCCTTTTGATTGGTCAGAAAAGCTTAAACTCTGCCGACTCCGCCTCCCCGGACAGAACCTCCCACTTTTTTTTTCTTTTGGCTCTTTTCCTGACTATTTTCTGTAGCAGCGAATCTCTTACCTGCACCTGGTTAGCTTTAACACGCACGATTTACGCTGACTAGCTGATTTATATCTGAAGTAAACGGAGAACTACGCGGTCTCCACAAGAGAACTAAGGGCCCAGTCACTACTCTGAGTATTTATAGCTCTGTGGTTAAGCATAGTTAGCATGTGCAAGGCCAGGGGTTCAATTCCTGGCAACACACACACACACACACACACACTAATCTCCCAGTGTGTGTGTGTGTGTGTGTGTGTGTGTGTGTGTACATGAGTTCAGAGGACAACTTTTGACAGTTGGTTCTTGCCTTCCACCACGTGGACTCGTGGAATTGAACTGTTGATTTAGCCTTGCCCGAGCCCTTTTAAGCATTTTTTTTTCCCTTTAAAGTCCAGGAGCAATGTTAGACATTAAAAGGTAATGCGATACATCTGTTAGGCTAACACAGTCTGGGACGAGCACAGACAGGTGCGAACTTAATTAAAAACAATGCACAGGCCAGGCAAGGTGGCACACACCTTTAATCCCAGCTCTCTGTCAGCAGAGGCAGAGGATCTCTGAGTTTGAGGCCAACCGGGTCTATAAAGTTCCAGGATAGCCAGGGCTACCCAGAGAAACCCAGTCTGGAAAAACAAAACAAAGAAACAATGACAACAATAAAAACCAGTGTGGATCTTCGGAAGATGCTAGAAAGCCGCCAGCTCCAAATCGGTGGTGGAATGAGGAACAATTAGTTTAGTTGTTGATAATTCTTTTTCTTCTCTAGTTTCAGTGCTGGGTGGGCATAACACAGGCCCCCTCACAAGCTTGGTGGACGCTCAGTTAGTGAGCTTCCCCCCCCCCCCGTCCATTTTTAATTTTTAAATTATGCTCTTTTTTCTTCTGAGGAGTCTGTGTCTTAACTGTCAACCTCTCCAAGTGTTAAAGCGCATTACCAAGCACACAGTAGGTGGCTTCATAAGTTAGCTTTTGAACAAACCATCTCCTGAACACTTACGATATAAAAATAGCTGTGTGAGGCGCTCTTGGTGGGAAGTACAGACTTACTGCCTGTCCCCTTTTGCCTTTTTATTGCTGTATATTGGTATCATAATTAATTATATAAATAAGGTGTTTCGTTATGACATTTTCATAATAAGGTGTTTCGTTATGACATTTTCATACATGGGTACTTGGGTTATCATGCTCACCCTCTCTGGAGACTACAGAAAGAAATAAGATGCAAAATGTTGATGGTTTATATTACACAAGACTGTGATATAACCTGGATTGCGGGTGGAGTAGGGTGGGGTTGAGGTTGGGGTGAGGTGACCATATCCATTATAAACGAAGTACAATGGTGGGCAGTGGTTTATTCTTTAGGAGTTAGATGACTAATTTTTTTTCTTTTTAGAAATAATTAAATCTGTTGAGGAAGCCAAGCTCTGCTTATGCTATATGCACATATATATTATACTTATATATGTAATATATGCATATATTGTACTTACTATACAATACCCCACAGTCTCATGTCAAGGCAAGTACGAATATTTTTCAGAGCTGCACCCAGGAAATTCTTCTGCTTGTGGTGTCCTCCACAAAACAGGAACTTTGACCTTCTTGGAAGAATCAGAGAAGTGGTGCTGCCCTTTTCTCTAGACTTCCACTCCTTTCCCTCCTCTGGCCCCAGTCCCTTGGGAAGAGAGACTCTCCAGGAACTCGAGCTGCCCAGCTCCTCTGCCTATGGCTCTCGGAATAAGACTAGCAGGGCTATGCAGACGAGAGGAGGGCAGTAGCTTTAATTTGCTCTTTGGAGCTCAGCTCTGCCCTCCAAACCTGCGTGGGGAGAAATAAAACAGCTAGTCGGAAGGGTAGAGTATACAAGATGGAGCAGGGTTTGATTGCCAGCTTCTCAAATGGACAAGAAACTTATGCTAGCTGGGCAGTGGCAGCGCACCTTTTAATCCCAGCACTCGGGAGGCAGAGGCAGGCAGATCTCTATGAGTTTGAGGCCGGCCTGGTCTACATAGAAAGTTCCAGGACAGGCTCCAAAGCAACACAGAGAAACCCTGTCTCGAAAAACCAAAAGAAAAGGGAAAAACAAAAACAAAACAAAACAAAAAACCTGACTCTAAAAGGGTCTCTCCAAGCGTTTGCTTTCTCATGTCTGCAATGTGCATTTGTCTGGGGGGATGACATGAAAAAGCATTTGAATTAGGTATAATGTATAGGGCTTTGATCGCAGTTAGCCAGTCAGCCAGTTGGTGAGTCAATGTTTACTTGTTGAAAACTGCCGAGAATGCTGGAAATAGAAGTTTAGCGGAGAAAAATCTCATGCCAAACTGGCATTGTAGTATATGTAGGTGATCTTAGCACTTGGGAGGTAGACACAGGAAGATCAGAGTCAAATCAAAACCAATTCCAGGGCTGGTGGCGCACACCTTTGTTCCCAGCCCTTGGGAGGCAGAGGCAGGCAGATCTCTCTGGTCTATAGAACTAGTTCTAGACTGCCAGGGCTACACAAAGCAATCCCGTCTTCAGAAAACAAAACGAACAAACAAACAAACAAAAATCAACCAAACAAAACCAAAATCAAAAATCAAAACCAATCAACCAAAACCAAACAACAACAACAACAAAAACCCCAACCAATTCTAGACTGGCCTGGGCTACAGGAGATTTTGTCTCAAAATATAGCAAAACAAGAATTGACTTCCTGTTTTCTGTGTGCCCTTGCACTGAGGTTGGAAGCCCTGGTGAAGAGCTTGGGCTTGTTGTCAGGGCCTCTCTGACGTGTCTTTCAGCCTGGCCCCAGTGAGACCTGCAGCTATAAGCTATAAGCTATCCCACCTTCTTCACTGAGTGGGCTTCTCTCAGTTCCTTTACATTCTATCCACTTGTAGTATCGGGGTTCATGGATGCCCCCCAGCAATCCTCATTGAGAAGTCAATCGTGTAAGATCTGGTGCGTTACTGGTCACATTGCAGGGTCATGCTATATTCTTTTTTTTTTTTTTTTTTGACATGGTCTCTCTGCATAATTTTGACTAAACTGGAACTCACTGTATAAACCAGGATGGCCACAAATTCGCAGACATCCACTGGCCCTCTGCCTCCTGAGTGCTGAGGTTAAAGGTGCGAGCCACAATACCCAGCTCGAGCTATATTCAAAGAAGCTTTCCAACTAGATTTGTGATGAGAAGGGGGAAGGGAAATGGGTGCTATTCTAACAGATTGGTGGGACAGGGGTGTCCACTGTCTCCTGAATTTACGAGAGTTGCCTGGGACTCTTTACCTGGTTGGAATGAGGCTTACTCCTTCCTATTCTGCGCAGAATGTAAGCTGCAACGTATGGATGCTACCTTACAATCGGATGCACTGGCTGGGGGAGGGGGCAGAGGGAGGAGGGAGCTGCTGCTGCTTACAGTGGGACTAATGCCTGGGGCTGTCATAATTTGCCATTTTCAGTGGGATTCTTTTACGTGAAGAACTTGCCATGCTGCTCATGTTTGCGAATACACTGGGTGGGATCCAGGGGTCTCTTAGATCTTAAATAGAAGATACTTAAATACAAAGTGCTGCAACCCTAAGGGAGGAAATGCTTCTTCGTGTTTATATTCTGCTGAGGACAAAAAAGGTAAAAAGCAATGCCCAGCGGAGATGCTGAACAGAGCGAAGAGGATAAAGTCGGGCGACGTGGCGGGAAGGGTGGGGAAGGGGTGCTGCCGTTAGACTTCGCGTTCAGGGAAGGCCTTCCTGAGGAGATGGCGTATGGGTTGCGGCTGATAAGAACTTGGTTCTATAAGGAACTGAGGGGGTGGGGACATATAGCTCAGTGATGGTGTCAGTAGTGGGGAGACGCTGCCCAACCCTGTCTCCAGCAGCCCGAGGAGTCACTTCCTTCCCACCTAGGGACCCCCACTCAAAGACAGTGGTTCTCCACCTCCCTAACGCTGTGACCCTTTGGTGACCCCCAACCAGAAAATAATTTTGTAACTACTTCATGTCTGTAATTTTGCTACTGTTAGGAATTGTAATGTAAATATCTGTTATGTAGGATAGCGTGATCCACAGGTTGAGAACCACTCACATAAGGAACTCTGAATCCTTGACTAGGCTGCAGATAAGAAATTAAGGGCAAGATAAAGTGAGGCAAAGTTTATTAAAATTAGGATATTTTATTAAAGCTTATTAAAATATCGAATGTACAGTTGCTTCTCCAGAGAATAACACTTAGGTGTCTTTACATTGGCCGTTCATATATGATCCTGTGGCTTTCTAAGTAAAAATTCTCAAGGGAAGTAATTTACACTAAGTGTTAAGGGCAAAGCTAAGCTAGAGCTGTGGAGCTGGCTCAGCAGTTAAAGCTCTCAGAGGACCCACAGCTTGATGGGTCCTAGCACCCACATGGCAGCTCACACTGCCTGTGACTCCAGTAGCAGGAGACCCAACGCGCTCTTTTGCCTCCAAGGGCACTGTACAAACATATGTGGTGCATGGACGTACATCCGGACAAAACACCTGTGTACATAAACATTCCGGTATCGGGGACCCAATGCCTCTTCTGGCCTCCAGTGGTGCTGTGTAAACATATGTGGGGGCATGGACATACATACAGGCGAAACACACATCTACGTAAATATCTCTTAAACTTTTGAAACAGTATTTACCTGTAACTCCCTATGAAATCAAAATCGGAGAGCAGACCACATACTTGCAACACACAGCAGCACAGACTACACGTTACCATTCCGAAAGGAAGGAAAGCGAGCATAGTGAGGAAACGCTGGACCAGCGCAAGGCCGGAACACTTATTCACGAAGCCTATTCTCTGGCCTCTTAGGACCCAGTGAGCCTCTCATTGTTAAATCACAGTTTTGTATGCAGAACAGT